AGACCGGGGTGTGCAGCCTTCTGGCCCTGCCGGCTGCCTAGGTGAATGGTAATGGGGCTAGTTTGTGGACTAAATGAAACCCATGGGTGAGATCAGTCCATGGACCTGTGCCAGAGTCACCCGGTGGGGTCATCTGCAGGGGCAGTCTGGCACACCCATCTGGCTCTACGCACTGGATCTGACTGTATTGATACCATGTGCTGGCCTGACTCCATGTGCCCGATCTGGTCGTGAAGTGGATTTGGCTATGGAGTGACCCTGAATTCAGTGCATGGGACTGTCATCTGGCTGTCAGGGGAGCCACAGCAGTTAATGCTGCCACCTCTCCCCTGCCACCAAATTTTCCAAACTCATGGAGAGCCCTGTGGACTGGAGGTTGAGCACCAGTGATTTAGACAAAAAAAAAGTCTGTTTCACTTAATTCTTTATCTTTGGTTCTTGTGGACTACACATCATTACAAAATTTGGATTTCTGAGCATTGAGGTAGATGTTAGTACCCAAAAACTGTCTTCACTGACAGGATGGAGCTGCAGACTTTGCAAACCTCTGTTAGATTTTGTGCTTTTTATTTAACTATTTTAGTAAGTCACATTTGAAAATTGTTCTTTTTTTAGCAGCTCTTCTTTAGTGGCTTTAAAATTTTCAGGTTCTGTGCTGCTTTTTGGGATTGCAAAATCCAGCTGAAACAAGCATGACTTCCTTTTAAAAATGACTGAGAATTTTTATTGTAACTGTTCAGTGTAAAGCATGTGAAGGCGGGACAGGGCCTGAGACTCTTGATTTAGCCAGGGCTTGGCTCAGGCTCACTTACCCCAAAGGCTCCAGGTGGGAAAGTGGGGTGTGCTGTGGGCTGGAAGGAGGTGGGGGGCTGCAGGCTGGGGATGGGGGGCACTGGCAGGGCTGGGGAGGGCCCTGTGGGTTGGGTGCGGTTGCAGGTGTTGGTGCCTGCCAGGGCTGAGGGGGGGTTGGGGGCTGTGGGAAGAGCCAGCGGGGCAGGGTGGGAGTGTGTGGGTGGGGGCTGAGGGAGTGGGGAGGTGTCCACAGGTACTCTCAGGCCAGCATGGGAGAATCCAGACAGCATCCCCATGCCCCGCTGGGGATGGGTGGGCAGGTGCCTAGCAGTGTTGAGTAGCCAGGATACCTGCCCAGTCGCCCACTCCTGTGAGGAGGCGGCAGTGGCCATGGTACAGCACTGCAGCATGGGACACTGCAGTGTGTCAGAGGCTGGGGCAGGTGATGAGCTGCTGCTGCCATCCATGTGCCATTGTGCCAGGCCAGGCAGCT